TTGAGGGCAGAGGTGAGCCATCCATAAAACTTTGTGTACTAGGAAAGAGACAAAAATACAGCATTACAATAACAACTCAGGACCAGGGACAAGAGAAACTCCTTCATCTATTTAAGCCTAAGCTGAATTTTGCAATTGCATGTAAACATAAGTTGTAAGTTATTCTGGGAAGGCTAAATTCAGTGGTTTGCCAAACACACATGGAATTATAACAGTACTGCAGAACTGAAAAAGAACTCCCACCCCAAAATAAACCAAATGGATCACAATTAAAAAGGTCAAAAATTTATTTTTCCTTAGGGCATAAGAGGCAATGTAAACAAAATACCAACAAACAAACAAAAATCACAAGTCAATTCTTACAGTCTGCAAGCATTTGAAGATAGAGTACCCTTTTCCCACCTCCCCCCCCCAGAACACTGCAAGCCTGCTCAAATGTTAACAATTCTGGACCATGAAGGTCCATTGAGTTTTGACGTATCTGAAGCCGGGCACTAGATTTCTCATGTAAGAAGGACACTGCATCTGTTTTATCAAACACTGTTTAAAAAAAGAAGTCCAACACAATATAAATATTACAGACAAAGATCAGATTTAGCACCACCTTTGGTCCAAGCAAGCAATGAACTGGGAGATGACAGGTACGGTCTGTTTAGCAAGTCCTTTCTGCCTGAGTCTTTGAAAACATTAGAGGTTCACATTGCAAGAACTTGTAACAACTCTGAGAAAATGGCCCTCAAACTCTGGCAGTCTCTTACGAGCTCCCCAGGTCCTGTGGAGAGGAAAGGATCATCACTGTGCAGCAGCGCACAGTGCCAGCCAACATCACTCAAAGAGCTTGTCAAGATGAGTTTGGCCCTGTGGTACATAGCAAGCACTGTGCCAAGGGTCGGATCCTGCTTTGGCCTGGTAGACTTTGGGCATGGCTGAGGAACAGGAAGAGCAGTGACCGTGTGCATCCTGAACTCCCCTTTCCACTAGGATTTGCCATCCTCCAAAACCCAGCAGACTGCAGAAGGGTGTATGATAGCAGATGCCTGGAAGGAGCTGAAGTTGCCTAAACCCAAGTTATTTCAGCATATCTAGAACATGCAAATTAAGAGCTCTTTTATTGAGCATAGTTTTACTCTAGGCCGTTTTTAGGCTCATCTTTTCCCCATACAGACATGCCCATCACAAATGCAGAGAGTTGTCACTACCTAGTTTCTGTGCCACAGCACCAATGTGAGCCAGGATAGCCACAAGGATAAGTGACAATCCCGGCAGAAAAATGAAATTCATAAAGCACCTAGCAATATTTTACATTTATTGCAACTCCCTCCTCTACAAGTGACCAGAACTCAATGTGTCTTCTTTTCCTCCAGAAGCTTAGAAGTTTTTTAGCAGTCTTAATTAACCATTATTAAATGCTGTTCAATTCTGAGATAACATCAGCTCTAATAAATGCCTAAAGAGAAATGCAGAGATCTGCTTTCAGGCACAGTTTTTGCTCTTCATGTTCACATGCATAGCTGTCCAAGACAATGTGAGTTTCTCATTGTGTTGAGACACCCATGCAGAGTTTTCACCTTTACAGGCACAGACATGACAAAGAGCAAGCATTTGGGCATGGCATGCTGCTGTTCAGCAGTCATGGAGAAGAGGGCAGCCCCTGTGTGCAGCCCTTGTCCCACACAGGGCAGCAAAACCCCGACCCAGACACCCACACTGGTGACACGAGCAGACACAGGTTGATCTGGTGATATTCCACCCCCCATTTACCGCACTTGGTCTGCAACACAACCATGAGGACAGCTCTGAAACCAGTTCTGGACTATACACTAAAGTCAAGTAAGTCTGCATGTCTGGATTAGGACAAAGCTAATGCTTCATGCAACTGTTTCCCCCCACCACTGTCATATCCAAAGCAAACGAAAACAATGTGTTATAACTCCACTAATTGTCACTGATGATATATATGATAGAGATGCACTTCTGTTGTCCCAGTCATAGAACCAGGCCCACAGTACTGTATGTGTCAGCTAAATCATCACAGGTCCCCAGATGATCTGTGCTAAAGCCTGAGGGATGTTTCGACAGGGTCACTTGGCAAATAGGAGAGCTCTGTTCTCCCCACTGATAATGCATCTTTAGTGTCAGCCCACAGAGAAGTCACTTATCTTTGTTAACTAGTACTCTACTCTGTGTCAAATCGACCATTTTACATGCAGACTCAGGGACTGATCATAAAAAGGTCTGTTTTCTGCCAGTTCAAACAGACTGGGGCATCTGACCCCTCATTAACAACAACTCTTGTCATCAATGGCACAAGGGACTGTTAAGTGCAAAAATAAAGTCATTTTTCTGGGTTTCAGTTTTACTGGGATGACTTTGAAAGGCAAAATCGTGCGATTTCGTTTTCTAGGAAAGCATCTCAGAGACCCAAGCACATCTGGACCCTTGCAGTTGTTCACTGTACAAACAGTTCCACCCAAGTGGTCAGTATCACAAGTACATTGAACAAAAACTGGACAACACATGAGGCTGCAGTTACAATTTTTGTCTCTAGCTCACTTTTGCTATAGGTATATTAAGGACTGATGCTGTGAATTTCGGAATACCTCTCAGCTCTGAGAAAATCAGTACTTTGCCAAAAGCTCTAACATTTGTATGATGAGCGATATTTGCTCCGCTACCTTCAGAGGAGCGGGATCAGAGGCCACAACAAAATATGGTCCAAAGCTGTTACTACCAAAAAAAAAGGGTTTCCCCAGACTCATTTTCTCCCTCTCTTGGCTTAACTTGCAACCCAAACCAAACTGAATGGACTCCCGCCCATAAACTTTCTTAAAAAGAACAAAAAGAACAAAAAGGAAAGCTCTCAGTTATTCCTTCTCACATACACTGCCACAGAAACCACGCCAACTTCTAAGCTTTTCCCCACACAGAACAGACAGAATGGTTCCCATGTTAAAAATAAACCAACCAAACAAAAAGACGACAAAAAAGTGTCACCAACTTGACCACACACACAAAAACCAGCCACACGTTTCTCTACCTCTGGTCACCGACATACTCTCCCAAGCTCCCACCAGGTACATTCCCACCACCTAACCACTAGAAAATGGACTGCGACACCAACACAGAAATGACAATAGTATCTAATATTGAAGGTCACATTAAGAACATCAACCGCCTAGGAAACCCACTGCAAAACCTCACTTGGACCAGGCCTAGATCAATTATTTATCAATTACAAATTTGGCACAGCAAAACCCGTAGGAGTTTCCAGTCCAGACACATGCAATTGCTCCATTAACAGAGGGGAGCACAACTGCATGAACAGATTTCAGCCTTCATTCAACAACAGGTTTAGGCTCTCTGCAATTGACTACCCACCAGTTCCAGAGACAATTTGGGCTAATTAGCAGCTCTGGAAACAGCTACAGATGTAAAGATCCAGCTGAGCTGCTTTCAACACCCACCTTGAGTTATCTGCATCTGAACTTTAGCCTAAGCAGCAATCAATCAAACTGCTGGCAAGACTTCTCCTGACATGAAATCCGATATTGAGTCTTAACTAAGGAGGCTCATCTGCTTGATTCTCCCCAAACACTGCAGACAGAGTAATGAGCACTGCTGTCTGCAATTAAATCTGCAATAAAGGAACAGCACTGATGTAATGTGGTTAGCCAGACAGCAGAAATGCCCCCTGCTCCGTACACTATTGACCCTGCAATACTCAGTTTGGACCCTCAGTACAAACAAGTCATTGTAATGCTACACACACTTTGCTTTTGCAATACTCCAGGTTTGAACTCATCATGAGTAATGAGCAAGTCTTTTCAGCAAGCCTATTCAGCAGGCTGCAGAAAAATTCCTTCTAGAGACTGGAAACAATTATAACTCCCCCACCCCCCAAATCCAAGGCAGGAAATAGTTAAGTCAGCTATTCACTGAAATATTTCATTTTTTAAAAGGTTCCCTTTTAATTCCTTTTCTATTACTTTTTTCCAGTTTACTAATTGTTACAGGCTAACTTCCAGTGACTGCACTGTTCTCTTCTGACCTGCTCCTAGGGGACAGAAATAAACTGAATCTGGATGCTCAAGGGGACGCAGAGTCAGAATACAATTTGATGCCCTCCTCCCCCAGTCTAAACGCCAAGGGTGATGATGGGATTTTGTTTATTTATTACTACTTCCCTGGGGACCCAGAAGCAGTTCAAGAACAAGCTCTTAAACCACAAAAGAGCTGTTTGCACAGAGAAAGCTGCCACAGTGCTTATATTTCAGACATCAAATACAGCATCACTAACACAGCTTTGGTATCTGGAGAAGCCCGAATTATTTCAATTTTAAATGTTGTATTTTAAAAACCCTCCTACAGTGCCAAGTGATCCTCTCTCTCCTGGTTTTCTCCTCCACCAAGCAGGGAGTGAGACTGACACATACCACTGTAACCAAATCACCCTGAGCATCAGGGGGAGATCACCAAACTCAGTATACTCCCAGAACTGCCACTAGCACAGGGTTGTTCCACAGAAGGCCAACGCAGGCACACTTGGAACAGCAACCCCTGCCCGCTCCATCAGCTGAACCTCAGTGTCTGTAAACTCTCAGGCACACAAACTGCATCAGTTACAACAAACACATAAGCAATGTTTGTCTTCCTTAGGTGGAGCTTTGGCTTCAGGATACAGATTGTCATAGTACATTATGGAGTGAAAAACTTCAACTTCTCTCACTAATGAAAAAGCCTAACACAGAGCAGTGATGTATTAAACCCATCTATACAGAGAAAGCACCTGCAGTGTCAGACCCAATAATTTATGGCCTTATTAGAAACATATTTTTCCTCATATTTTATCTATCTCTCCTCTGCCAATATAGTTACCTCTCATTTATTTCCAAATTATCAACACAATTCCCATAATTATTTTGATCAGTAACAAACAGGAGTCTCAACTCAGGACAGTAGTGGCTTATGCTGACAAGAACAGGTCTGTAAAAACGCCAGTGTGAAGCTTTAAACCAAATTTATTTATTAAAAAAACAAACACAAAACAAAAAAATTGCACTCTCCAACTAGAATCAACGCTACCTTGATGCGAGAACAATGAAGAACATTGTTAATGGGACCAGCCCAACCCTGACATTATAAAATGGGAAAAACTAATTTGTTCTGCCTACGCCAGTCAGGCCCGCAAGCAGTGCAGCACAGCTTTCACTCCAGGAATCGCTGCAGAGCCCCAGCCCTGATGTGAGGGCACCCAATAAAAGAAGATCCCCTCATCATTCCACCCTTGGCAATGCATGCACACCCCACAAAACTGACACCCCAAAGTAGAGTTATGGGTGACTCTTTACAAACATCTGTGCTTTGCTCCAAGTTGGGTCTAAGATGGAGGAGGAAAAGCAGCACCATCAACCTACATCCCAACCCAAAGTCAACTGACTGTGGGGGCTTCTGGATCCAGCCCTATATACAGTACTTTATTTGAAAGTTACAGACACACACAACAGACATGACTACCGAGCAGCACAGAGGGAGAGAAAGAGGAATGCAAGCACTGGGCAGAGCTAGCAGAGGCCATCAAACAGTTCAAGTGTGCAGACACATTCCTCATGCATCGCTGTATTGGTGCTCCCTGCTTCTACCAAGCAACTACAAGCAAATGAAAATAACATAACTTACACAAACATTTGCTCTCAGACCATCCTACTGGTACTGTGGACATCTATCAAACACTGCATTTATGCACAGCACTTTGCAAGGTGGCTAAGTAGCATCTACACTTGCTAGAGAAGGAGGTGCCGGTGATGGGAAGCCACCAGCAAATAGCAGCAAAGCTCCAGTTGATTTCCAAAAGCTGCAAGACCTGCAGGGAAGTGGATCAAGGCATGACAGCACCAAGGCTTAGCAGGCCTGTGCACCCTTTGGAGGTGTAGAAACTGAGTGCACGGTGTTTGCTTTTGCTGAGAACATTCCATGCTGAGTGCCCACAAGGAGCTTTGTGCTCCTCTGTGGGGCTTCTGTCAGTGTAACTCTACTGATGCTTGTGGAATTCTTGCCAGGTTAGACAAGAGCACGTGAAAGAATTAGAGGTCTCTCTTCAAAACGAAATTCTTTTGTAAAATATTAGAGGTTTTAAAAAAATCATGTAATTGAAACTATTTCAGTACAGCTGCAGAATTCAGTTTTCCTCTTTGCATGCAAAGGTCTCTGGTAATAATGCTTTTTGACAAACTTAAGAACAGCAGGACACAAATTAAGCAGAAAGCTGAGGTACACCCCCTCTCCAGCAACATGAGCCACAGAAGATGTACTTGCCAGAGCTCACAGAATCAAATGCTCTGGCTTTCACATTTCTCTTATGAAAACAATCCAGTTTTTCAAAGGTAGTAGATTTTGCTGCTACCTGGAAAGTCACATTATTTCTGACAGATGGAAGTTCTCCTTCCATTCAAACAGAATTTAAGACAAAATTTCTTTTGAAGAGCAAAGTTTCTGCTCAACTTTATTTTGGACCTGAGTGATCAGCCTTTGCAAGCCAAGAAATATGAAATCAATACCCAAACCAGCTGTGAAATTCTGCAGGTGAGAACTAATCAGATAAAACGGGGACTTTTTGGCTTAGGTTAACAATAGGGAAGGAAAAGAAATAAGGAACTGTAAAAATACTCCTATAGCTCTTGCAATAAATACAAGTAACAATACAGTATCAATACTTGGGACTGCACCAGCAGAATTATTTTCCCTTCTGAAGTTACCATTGATTCCAAAGTGTAACAGAGGACATAACCAGCAGAGACATACCAGAAGAAAGTATCATGCATGGATGGCATACAGAGTTTCAAGCATAGCTCAGAAGTCCTGTATTGATAAAGATGTTAATGCACATTCTATACATAATCCTGGCAACATGCTGCATAATCCTTATACTTTCATTAACAGGTGATGATTTTTCATGGGAAGCAGTCATTCCGACCCCAAACCACCCTAGCTATCCTGTCAGTCCCTACCTACCCAAGGGTCCAGCCAACCCCTCCCCTGCATTTCCCCTTTCCTTAAGAGTGCATGAATAGAGAATTGCAAACTTTTCACACTGCACGTTCCACTCCAAGTCCTGGATGAGGGGCCTGTTTATTCTATGAATATTGCACTTATCCACTCATTGGATTTGTTTTTTCTCAAGAATGCAGAGTATTTGGGAAAAAATAGAAAAAATAGTAGGATACAACACAGGAAAATATGAGTTATTAACAAGCTAGCTATGAAGATCTAAAATTAAATAGTACTAGTTCTATTCTGTTAATACTAGTAATATGAAAATAATGAATGCTTTATCAAATTCCCTTGTTTTTCATATAAGATAAAAGCAGTAACTTTCTTTTTAACTGAGGAAAGCAATGAATATATATTACAATAAAATACAATTCATTAAGATCTGAAAGTGATGAAAACAATTATATAATGCCTTCGTCAAACTTGATAGCACTGTAACGGAAGGAGTCTTTGGGATGTGGGTCCACAAGGGTAAAATCCATTTTTCAGCCATACCCGTGCAGATGTGAAATTCCATATTTAAGAGTAAATGTGAGCCAATTTCAATCCTTCATTACTGTGTGTTTGCTATTAGTGTACACACCGATTTAAAGGCTTCCTGTCAACACATCAGTTAAGTATCCTGACACGTGCCCATCATATCTTTTATCTTGAGAAGTGTGGCTTGCAAAGGATGAGCACGTATGACTAAACCCACCCACTGCAAAGCATGAGAGATAACACTTAACAGGGATTGCCTCCCACAGGGAAGGGCTGCTGACAAAAACTTAACAACTCTTGTGTTCTGAGAGGGTAGACAAGGGAAACCAGGAGTTAAACTTTTCAGGCATTATATAAACCTCAATAACGAACTCAGAAGTGCTCATTATTATTAAAGTTGCAGTATACAGCAAGACACAATTTTCACATTCTTAAATTATTTTTTTTCTCTGGCATTTGGATTTTCTGCTGGTCCAAATTCAAGACATTTTGGAAAGCACGGACAGCGGGTGAGAGCAACGCGGTGATAGCAGCCGCCTCTCCCCCCGGAGGAGGGCCCCCTTCAGCTGCAAATGGCTTTGCCCAAGCCCTGCAGAGCTCTTCTTAACATTCTGGTTCAAGAATAAACCAAAAAAAGAGAGAAATTTAAACAGTACTGTTGATTTCTGCATTGAGTGTTCACTGAGGTGTACGTTACATTTAAATACTGCTCTTGATCCAGTGTCAGTTCCGACAAATTTAGTAAAACTAAAAGCTTAAGGCGACATTAACATTTTAGAAAAGAACTAAAACACTTCTAGCACTACACTGTCCTTTGAGGCACCCTGCCAGGTTTTCCTGCCCTGCAGTCAGCTTCTCTGATTTAGCTTAAGGCCTTTCACTCTGTTTCACAGCTAATAGTGGAAAGGGCTTGCTATTTCAGGTATCAGTGGAGCTGACCAAAACTAGCTGCTCGCTGGTGGAAAAAGTAATTCTTTTCCTCTCAGTTGGAAGAATAAAAAAAGAGATTGGTGAGAGATGTTATGACAATGGTAAAATGGGAGGGGGAAAAACTGCATTGGGGGGGGGGGGTATTTTCTTTAAAAGTGACCTTTCAAACACAAGCAGTCAAAACAGCCACCAAATAAAGGGAAGCCCAAACTAAAGCCTTCCCATCAGGCCGTGGTGGCCCACATTCATTTCTAGCATCAAGTAGGTTGGTTATGCCCTATCTGAGGCAGAGGGAAGAAGCAAGTGTGGCTTTGCAGCCCATCTACAGGTCCTGGCCTCTCCTCAGGGAGACATGAGACCTTTGGGATGTGAAAAAGGAGCAACTGAGCCATAGGACACTGGGCTGCTGCTTGAGAAAACCCTGGCTGCTCTGCAGGCACCCTCACCAGGTGTCATCCCCTGCACTGATGAAGCTCAGCAAACCATCTCCTTGCAAAAGCCAGAGCTGGAGACGCAAGCCAGTAAGGTGGAAAGGGAGCTGTGGGACAGATTGATAACTGTTACAGAGGTGGCCTGCATTTCACAGGTTAGTGTGAGGATCTGCCTGAGCCTGTGTCCGCCAGGGACCAGCCTCATGCAAGGACATGGCACCACAACTGTCTGCCAAAACCAGCTCTGCCACTCCGAACCCTGTAAGCACTTTTGCAGCTGGGAGCTACTCTGTGCTCAACTTTGCTGGATGCAGGTGAGAACACCTGCGGTAGTCAGGGCTCTCCCATTTGTGTGCTGCTTTCCTCTCCCTAGGTAGGGGCTCATGTCACACCACACCATATTCAGAGAATTCAGTGGCTCAATGCAGAAGATCTGGGAGCTGTGCTTTTACATCCCCCCAAAGAGATGACCTAGAGGGAATGTCTTTAAACAAAACTTTAGAATATTTTAAATAATAAGTTAATTCTTAATAAATATGTGCTTTAAGAAAATGATAATTATATACTGCACCTTTAAATAATGCACTTATTTCTCTGCATTGGCTTCCATTTTGTTTTCTTTTATTGTTAAAGTGCATTAATTCAAAATAATGAACCACTTCCTCATCATTATTGTTAAAATAAATCACAACAACATTAATACGAGTCACTAAGTCACTACTATTAGTACTGCAATCTAGCAGATAACTCTATGTATTGCTCTATTTAATACTGTCCAGCAGAAGAATATAATACTTCTATTATAATCTCACAACAGCTCCAGCAGTCTTTTATGGCTGCTACCATATTAGTACAATTAAAAATGGGGAGAAGTATGGGAGACAGGGCCACAATGCCTCAGATACACATCCAGTACGATGTAGCTAACTGGATATATACATATGTTATATGGCAAGACATTAAGGTACAAAGAGGACCCTGCACACTGTGATAGGAGCTATTGTGCAGATACACCTCCTTCTCCTGTCACCACAACATAACGGGATCCCAACTGAACAGCTTCCCTCCCCACTTGGATGCAAAGAGCTGCTCGAACCACAGCACTGTTCATAGCCAGTAGTGGCACCTGGATGTTGTTTCAGCTACCAGGACACCGGTCACGTTAGGTGTAGGTTAGCTGTAGGCAACTCTCTCAGTGTTACTAGGGAAATTAATAACAACTCCAAACCACAACCCCCCCCCCAACAATAAAGACAAGAACAACGTATAAATTGCGTAGTATTTTTTTGGCAGAAACACACGATATTCTTGTGCTATTTCACTCAGCCCCTTGATCCCAGCTATTTTTAAGTCTTTATATCCTTTAGCTTCTAAGCCAAATCAGTTCGAAATTCTGTTGGAAAAAATGGCATGTATAATTTAGTGTAAACCAGTAGTGAAATAGTCTGCCCCTCCCCCTAAAAACAGATCTGCAATGCTGCTTATTATGTAAAGGAATTGGACACTGATCTTGAGTGATTAACAAAGCCATTTAACACCCCTGCCCCCCAAAAAAACCCATGTCTTCCACAAGTACAGTAGGGATGTAGGCAAAAGACTTGGCTACCTCATAAATAAAATATATTCAAAGCCTTTTTCAATGGATGCCGCATCCATTTCCCACCACACTATCCCTACCATGTGCCACATTTCAAAGCATGCATCAATAAAGGCAATTAGAAATGGAATTAGAAGAGGCAGCTTCCTGGTTAGATGCATTGTAGGCCTAATTCCTTTGATATTAAACCTCTGAGCCTGAGAAGCCCAGGTACACTTTCCAGTACAAATGTACATTTTGGATTCAAGTGGGAACAGAAACGCATATTTGGCTCCTCCTTCAGTTTTAAGTCTCTCTTGGTAAAAGAAGACTAAAAAAAAAAGTAAACCAAGAACGCACAGAAAAGACAAAAACAAAACACAGAAAAAACAATTCCAAAAAAATACACAAATTAAGTATGTGCAGACTGAGTTTGATGGCTTTTCCCCCCCACCCCCTATTGTAAACACTGATGTTGCAGAAGGTCACGGCTATTTCTAACTAACACCTTGGTGGGCCCTGCCAGCAGTCAGCACACTTGAATTCGGACCAGATCACAAAAACAAGAAGTAACACGTTTGATAGCTTTGTCTTTAGTGTCTTAAGGGACTTTTGAACATTTTCATATTACGTCAAGTTTTGAGAAACCCAACTCTGAGAAGATAATCAACCAGGATCACCTGGCAGGAGTCAGGAACAGAACTAAATATGGAGTCTACAAAGTAATCAACGTGCTTAAGCATGGGGTTTGTAGGTTTGTTTTACAAGCACCAGTAGGCATTGCTGCCCTAGAACACCTGAAATCCCAACTCAAAGTACAAGACAGAACAAAAGGAAACAAAAAGCCCCCAACCAACACCACCTGATTGCCTTTTCCGGTGAGTTAGCAGTAACAACAAAACACAGCTGAAGTCAAGAGACCAAATCTCTCCACGGTGAAAAGGCTCCAACTCTGGACCAACCAACTGTTGAGAATAGTGAAAAAAGAAGTGAACAGCTCCAAAGGATTAGAGTCCCTCTGTGTTTCAGTAACTTCCATTCCCTTCTCACTGTAAGTTGTGGAAATGCATCCAGAACTCTTGGGTATTCCATGTACGGACACGAATGAGGAGAAAAGGAGCCAAGACTGTAAAACAAGAGTTTGGCACAAAACTCCCCAAGTAGATGCATGTGTATTTCTCACAAAAGGCACACATTTGGTTTCCTATCAATAATGGGAAAGATGGGATATCATACCCTGTTACACATACAAGATTATTAACAACTTCACAAAAAGGCATTTGACTATGCTGCGTCTTCCTAATAGCTGTTTACAACATATTAGCCCCACAAACCTCTCCAGAACACAGCAGGTTTGTCCTCAGCATAGACTCCTTTGTCCCTTTGTACAAACTGGAGCACAGGGAAACGTCTTTTTGCGTAGCAATTGTTTGTTTGTTGTTTTTTTTTCCACATGTACACAGCAGGAACAGTATAAATTAGGGAGGTTAAAGATATTGCAATATTAGTTCTTTTTCTCCAAGTAATTTGAGGGCACCCAGCCTTTGAATGGCTTCACTCCATTCATAATCTGGCAATACCACCAGCCATTTGGGTTCCTTTCGAGGACCTCCATGCAGACACCTTCTTGAAACCCTGCAGTCTCCTCATCCCCCTCATAGTCTGCAATGGAAACATAGATGTCCTTGAGATTGTTGTGGATAAACTGGGATTTCTCAATGGGCTTTGGCCTGACTGTGGACACAGGAATCCCATTCCTCTGGGTAGAGAGATTGGAGGTGTTCTCTGAGTTCTCTGTACCCGACCGCTCAGGCTGCTTCCCCTTCGCATCACCAGGCTGTGACCACGCATTGCTAAAGGAGGAATTCCGACGGACGCTCCTAAGATGATCAGTAGTTGTTAAAGATTCATTTCTGCGCAAGGAGCATGACAAGTTGTTATCCTTTGGTGGTGGAGACACAAACACTGACTGCGGCCGGACGGCAAGTTGCCTCACACCATTCCTCATTTTCACTGGCCCTGATGGCTTTGAAAAACCACCAGGAGGTTTGCTTGGGATGGGTGGTGTTGAACGTTTGCTCTGGTTGATGGTGTTCAAAGCCTGAACCCTTTTCTCTATCTTCTCTAAACTGTTCGACTTGTTTTCATTTTTCCTGTTCCTGGCAATTGAGGCATCAGTCTCTGCTGATGTAGTTTCCCGCTGGTTATCAGGGAGAGCCAAATAATGGGAAGGAGCCCAGCCTTCCATGTCTCCGTATTTCAGGTACCACCATCCACTGGCTTGCTTTTCCAGCACTTCCACTTCTACTCCTGCTGGGAAGCAAATTTCAGAATCCTGTACCTTTTGGTATGAGTCAGTGGTCACATAGAAACATCTGGAGTCATTTTCTTGCTCAGTTTTGGCTGTATGGCTAGAGCAGAAAATGCCACGGGAAGGAGCTGTAATGATATCAGCTGAGCTCCTCCTAACAGGATCCTCTTGGTTCTCAGAAGCTGTATGTGGGGGGCTCTCAGACTCTTCACTTCTTGAACCTTTAAGTCCACCTCTGAGTTGCCCAGTTGGCCTCAGCTGTCGCCTTAAAGTGCTGATATCCATCTTTTCTTGGCTCTGAGAGTCTGCCTTGTTCAGGAAGGGTTTGGGCCTAACAATTGGCTTTGCTCTAATGGAAGGACTTTGACCAGGCTCTTTCTTCATGCCTGTCCTTGGCACACTACGTAAACCAACATCTGAAGCTGACCTTGGTTTTGTTTCCTCACTCCTGGAATAATGGCATTTTCCAACATCAGGCTGAATGTTTTTGTCCATCTTGAGCTTCATAAGTGATGACTTAGGAGAGCTGGAAGATGGAGAATTCCTTTGGATCAGGGAGAGAGAGGAGCTTTTCTGAGAATCGGAGTCTCCACTAGATTCCTTATTGGATGAAGCATCTTCCACATAACGTCTGAATCCCTCATTCTCATAGATGGTCTCTTCTTCGTGAGCAACTTCTTCTGAAGACTCTCCTACTTTGAACTTTGCTTTCTGAAGTGATGACATAGGAGAGGGCTTGAGGGGCTGAAACAGTCGTTTTTCAAGACTGCCCTCTTCACGATGACTTTCACTCCCTTCACACTCCGAGTCAAAGCCAAAGGCAGGCACATCATACTCAGGTTCTTCGTATTTCAGCTTGTGGGGAGAGTCCTGGGTATCTCCTGAAGAAACTGTTCCAGGAGCTGTTCCTTCTTCAGGGTCTTTTGGTTTACTGGGAGGTGCTGGGGGAGGAACTTTTGGGCGGGTTAAAGTACTGGTTCTTCTGTTTAAATTTGGCTTCTTCCTTTTGTCAATGTAAGATGCTGGAGCCCATCCCTCCTTCTCTCCAATCTGCACGTACCACCAGCCTCCAGAATTCTTTTCTATAACCTAGGACATGACAAGGAACATGTTACTTTGACAAAAGTCTCAACCAAAAGCTTTCCACTCCTTCCTGTTCAATCCAGTTCCCTGCAATCGCCAAATATTACAGTTTTTTCCAGCTGCGCTGTTAAGGCTCACCTCTGCTTTTTGTCCTCCACGAAAGCTTATGCCATCAGAAATACACGACTGGAACTCCGCAATGGTGTAGTATTCCACTTCCACAGAGGGTGGCTCTGGTGGTTTGGGCAACTGAAAACCCTGCAGAAAACAGGGAGTTTTGTTCAATTAAACCAAAGAAACAGTGGCTGAACAGCAATATGAAAAAATATTTGCCTTCATTCCTAAAACTCTTCCTTACTCCTGTGCTACTTCCTAATGATAACTTCCCAGTTCTCCAGAGTGGAAGCTGATATGCTGAGACAGGCCACAAGAGAGAAACCTATCAAAACGCACACAGTTCATACCGCCTTCACCACCTATTAAAACCGTGATAATCTTTACCTAAACAGTAAAACATTTTACTGATGGGCCATAAAGTGTGAGCTGCCATTCCAGTCACAGTAACAACAGCCCATGTACTCTGAGATTTTGTCTAGAAAGACTCAGTTCTGAATGGCTTGCCACAACTGCAGAAAATCACAATGCAACTGGCCCATAACAGTTTCTGCCTGTCACCAAATATACTGCCTTAAAATGCAATTCTAATGAATTATTGCTCTTAATCTGCTGTGGGATTTTTAAGACATCTGAAAGAGTGATATGAGCTAATGGGATTCTGTTGTAGCAAGAAACAAGAATAATATCACAGACACCATGAAGAGTAAGAGAGAGGAAGGGCTTTACTATAGGATTAAGATGCCAGTTCCTCCATGTAACAGAGACCCAGAACCTCTACTCAATCCCAACATAACCTGAATTTAAATTGTACAGAGGCTCCAAAAGAAGCATGACACTGCTATTTACAGACACTCTGCAGCATACCAGACTCTTCTAAAAGCCAAGAGCCTTTACATTGAGCTGTTGCATTTCAGAGTTCGTAACAATTATTTTTAGGGTGATGAATGGGGTAAGAGTCCTTTCAAGAATTTTGGTACCAGAAGCTTTTCAGATTAGCACAATGCTCATCTACAGAATAACTAGATGTTGGTGAAGCTTCACAGCTTGTGGTTCTAACACTAGAATTGCAGTATGTCAGGATCTCTTGACCATAGGTCAGACCTGCCACAGACATGTACAGGACAGCCAAAGACACAAAATGATCCTAAGCCATCAATGGGAGAAAAGCAAATTGCATACTGTGCTTTATTCTCACACTGCTCTATTTCTAAAACATCCTCGTTGTAACTAACAACCCAAGTTTTATTACATGAATGTGCTGAAACGCAGCATGTGGTATTTCATGGAGAATGCACCACTGCACCTTAGGAACCATGTCTAACAATGTTATAATTGGATGTTTCTGCACTATAAATGCTGAAACACAGCAGAAGTGCAGCATAATAAAATGCCTTCAGATAATAGCATGGTTTGGATTAAATGAAGATAATTGAAAACAGCAGACATGTTCCGGTTTCATATATATTATCATTGTTATTTTTAGCATAAGATTAAGAGTAATAGTCTTGCCAAAGCAAAGTCTATTTGAAAATAATGCAAAAAGAAACAGGAAGAAAATGCCAATATGCTATTCATCTAGTTAACAGGAATCTCAGATAACACAAAAGAAATTGTAAGTCACGTACTGCTAAAAAGGAGTACAACAAAGATTGAACACTATGTATTGTCTAGTTGTAAAGAAGTTATTAGCATGACTTTGTGCTAATAGACTACTTAGTAATTCCTATCTGAAAATCACAGTCCTAATATCAAAATGGTCCAGACTTCCAGCTTTGAGGGTAAAAATCATATGAGGTCTCATTCTCATAGTACACATCCTTCCATAAGGTCTCAAGTAACTTTAAATATATACAAGAGTGAAGCTTAACTATCTCAAAGACAGTAGGAATGGAAGGAGGACAGAAGACAAGAGAAAGTCAAAAGATCCAGTCTGGGCTAAAGACAAACAGAGGAACTTTAATCCTGCTGAGTCAGCCAGACAGGCTTTAAGGCTCATGCACAGCATAGTAACTTTAGGATTTTATCCCTGCAGTTCCCAATTAACATTAGGATGTCCAAAGGTCTGCTCAACAGATAAGCAACAAAATGAACAGGCATGAGAAAGCTGCATGGAGACCTCATAGCAGCCTTCCAGTATCTGTAGAGGACCTATAAGGATGCTGGGGAGGGACTATTCATTAGGGACTGTAGTGATAGGACAATGGGTAATGAGTTCAAACTTAAACGGAGGAAGTTTAGATTGGATATAAGGAAGAAGTTCTGTACTGTTAGGGTGGTGAGGCACTGGAATGGGTTGCCCAGGGAGTTTGTGAATGCTCCATCCCTGGCGGTGTTCAAGGCTAGATTGGACAGAGCATTGGGTGACATGGTTTAGTGTGAGGTGTACCTGCCCATGGCAGGGGGGTTGGAACTAGATGATGTTAAGGTCCTTTCCAACCCTAACTATTCTGTGATTCTATGATTCTATGTGCCCCACCACCACCACCACCACCTTGTACAGCTGTAGAAAGTCTCATAACTCACCCACACACCTACCCCACTGTTAACATACATCATAAACCAATACAAACCAGACTGGATTCTCTTCGTGGTGGTGGCCTTGTTCGTAGATTTGGAGAACCTGAGCAGGAAAGGGACAATTTATTTAACTTTGTAAGTATTGCTAAACACATTTTTCAGCAGCTCTTTGCTGTTACATAGTTTGAGGATATTAGTTGTCAGTATTTGCAATATTTAAGGCATCTGCATGAAAAAATATAGGAAACTATGAGGATATATTAGAAATACCAAGGTAGCTTAGCTATTCATCTCAGCTAAGCCAGCAAATTTAAGAGGAAATCACTGCCAGAAAGTAGTGGATTGTATTTTCTGCTGGAACTGACCAGCTCCATTGGAGATTGGCCAGTACAGAATTGGCCTAATACCTAGTTTTCCCCCCAGAGGTAAAAATAATCTACTAAATTAATAACACTCACATTGTCCTCTATCATAGTATCTTGCCATTCCTTGCACAGACTGGTGTTAGGATCTGCATTTTGCAGACAAAGTAGTCAAAACATTATAGCAATTTGCCCCAGGAAAACAACAGAACAAATGCAACAGAAGACATAGGTGGTCTCCTTGACTCTAACAACGCACCACCACATCATCTGCATTACTGAGGGCGGGGGTCACATTTTAGAGTTTTCAAAAGGAAAGGCATCTTCTCTGGGAAAAAGTAAAAAGCAAACGCGTACCAGCTAAGATAAAGAACCACCAGCCAGCCCTTGTAGAGAGTGAAATTAAATTTCATCACTACTAATGAAGGACCATGTCCTGGTGCTCCTGCAGATCTACAGGCAATGCAAAGATCTGCTCATGTGACTCAGCTATAAAGCCAGTACACATGGGACTTAGGCAATGCATGCCCTGAAAGGTAGAAAGCAAAATTCACTGAAAGCCAGTGGAAACCCAGACTACTTTACTGCCTTACTTATTTGAGCTCTTTGTGGTGCTATCCTTGCTATGGCTGGGGATCCCTGGGCCAGTTTGGAAATCTGCTTGTCTGGGGTCATCATGGCATTGCCATTAGAGTCATTGCACAGGATGGGCAAGCTGATTTCCTTCTTGGTGATATGAGTTTCTGCAGTCTCATTTTCTGCTTGAGTTTCCTTATCGGTGGATGCTTTCTTGTTCAGCAGGTTACTGATCTCCATGATGTTTCCTATGATTTCCACTGGCCCAGTTAAGTTCTTTTTCCTAGATGGAAGATCATCTTTAGCCTTCTTCAGATACGAAGCTGGGGCCCAGCCTTCTTTGCCTAGATACCTGCAGAGGCAAACGAAACGTCATCACATCAAACCTAGTCTTCTCACACATTTAAGGTATCATAGCGAAGGCAAAAGTGATAGATGATAACATAAACCAAAATTTGAGGTTCTTGGATAAGCTTTTCTGGTCTCTATTACCTATTGATCAAAACATGTCAGCTGAGGTAGCCGTGAGCTGTGGACTGCTGTTAAAACCCACTAATCATCCTATGGAAGGACTTATGTGTTTTATGCCACACTCAAACAGCACTAGGCAAACTCTATATTTTCTCATACAGCAGCAGAAAAGCAAATTATCAAGTAAAATATTTCAATACTTTCTAGTGGCAACTCAAAAGGAAAAAGGGCTAAACTAAGGGCGTGTGGAGCTCAGTACTGAGACCATGTGTCTACGTTTCAAAGCCCTTGTTCAAGCCTCCCCCCTTGCAATTGTTAACATACACTGATGCTCCTCCCGTAACTCCCAGTCTTGTATGATCAGTTTTTCTTACGGAGAATATGGGACTCAGTCTACTGCAGCTTTCTCTAGCACTGTAAAGTCAAGAAACAGTTTGACTGAGGAAAAATGGCTTTGATGGAGATTCATTCCTCTGAACAAGTTAGAGGCTATTTAAAGAAATAAACCGGGAAATACGAACAGACACCTGAATCCAGTACATGTTCCTGGAGCACCAGCCTGACCTGCTCATGCCACACTTCAAACTGAAGTTATTCTTCCACAACTGGGCTTTTGGGAAGGTGGTTTTTCTAACTCCTGCCATTCCTAGCACCTCAGCTGGGATTTCAGATTACAATCAGACTCCAGGGATGACCATGTGGATAACTCTGCTTTCCCTAGCGGAACACTAACTTGCTGCAGAATGAGTCACTGAAAACTGTCTTTCTTTAATCTCTAGAAATGCCCAAGGCAGGAGCTTTACTGTAAGTGGGAAAGCAGGCACCATTAACATCCTGGTGCTCAGGAAATCTGCTGGAAATGCAAAAGTTAAAACAGTAGGACTCTAAGGCTCTTTAATTAAAATGGAGACTCATTAGACAGCAGAGGAAAGAGCTGGGGGGCAGGTGGGGTAGAATATCAGCAAATCATCCCCTGGCAAATGAGCAACTTTGCCATGCCAACACTTGGATTCTGGGGTCTTGGTGAGATTCCTGCACCAGGGCATACTCAGCTCCTTCGCCACATCCAGACACTCAAGAGTGGTACAGGGGCTTTATAAGAACAGGAAAATCCAGTGTAGGCTTGCTTCCTGAGACTTCTTCATTACTTGCCCTGTACAAAGGCAAGATCTTGCCTTTTCCTCCCCTCCCATCTAGATCACCCAGGATACTAGTGATGCTGCTTCTCCCTATATACCTGCCTTCTGTCACACATGAAAGCAAAGTTACAGAATCTCTCCTGCTCAGAGAGCCTAGTGACAATTTTTTCCCCAAAGATTCTGGTGTAAAAGGAAAGAATCCCAACAACTCTGAGCTTTATTTGCCATGTGGAGACTAACAGGTAGCAGCAGGTAACAACTTGATTTGACTTTCAACAGGTACACAGCGTCCAGCCATTGATACTATGTCAAGACGCAGAAGGCCTGAATATGCGTCATATCCCCTGTTGTGACAAGGCAGTTCTCAATGACATTTTGCAACCCTGACGACTTTTGGCTTCCTCCCCTTTTGCAGTAGAAGGCCCTTTTGCAGAGCTACTGACCAATGCTTTCTGCTGCCTGGGCAGCAGAAGGCACAGAAGTTTTCTTTAAAGGCCCTTTATAACTTTATATGAACTGGAGATGTAAAGATTATAATCTGTGAGAAAGCCTCATTGGCCAATGCGCTGAGCACTCCAGCTCCAAAGGTTACTTTCAACAGAGCCTGATTGTGCAAAATCAGCAAAAAACCCCAGTTTACATCCATCTTAGTTTGTGGGAGACTTAAGTCGTTTAAGATCAGAAAGGCAGCCACAGGCAGCTTCTGTACTGGCACGTTAGTTCTCCTGCCAACTGTATGTATTTGGATCAGCCCATACAACCCTACTGCTTCAGACACCTCTGGTTTCACATAGTTTCTCCTACTGAATAGTAGCAGCAATATCAGGACAGTTAATAACTTTGGGCAACACACGCCCAGTAGGGAAGCTGTTGCTGGTTATTTCTTCCTGTGAGTTAGTAAATTCAACCTGAAATTTACTGCCAGCAACTGCCAGTTTATTTGTGCAACATCACGAATAAAAGCTACTTATGTAAGTCAAATAGTTCTTGAATTTGGTAATATCAAAGACCTTTGCATGTATCACCTTAGAAGACTACTTTATCTCCCTATTTTATAGGTGAATGAAGAACAAGGGCAACTGCTAATTGGCTTCAGAGAAGTCTTGAACAAGTTACAATCTTCTCAATCTTCTCATCAAGAGATGAATCCCAAACTTACTTCCTTCGTTTATGTTCACAACCTACTGGAGACATTTCAAACCCCATCCTAGATTCCTCCTCCTTTTTGTGCCACTAACACCTCCCGACTACACTTCATTCACATGGGCTGAGGCTTGCAACCAACCACAAAATGAAGATGCAGGCAAATAACAGAAGTTTTACTTAGCATATTGCTACTTACTTGGCCTCCAAACCACTTGGGCACCATGAGATTACCTCCAGGCGACAGTAACTGATACAAAGCAAGATCTAATAATGGATGCTAATGCCAGTCATGATCATTCTGGGAAGCACACAGATCCACTGAGCTCAGTAGAACAGTAAGAAGGATCCCAGGTCAGAGCCTCCCTTTCACTTCTCCAGAGTCCAAATTATTTATGTATTTCTTTTGAAGCCATAATGCACACGGAGCAAAATAAAGACACAAATACTGCCTCTAGCTTCTGCAGCATTGAACTGTGAGGTTTGCAGAATTAGGTGCAGTGATTTTGTTCCTCAGAGATTTCAAAACCTTCCCTATTTATATTACATGAAGGAAAAAATGGATTCAAACCATAGGAATGTTAAAGAAAGAGTCAGAAGTGCCTCTGTGAGTCTGAGAGTCACATCTGCTTTCCAGCTCCAGAGCACTGGAATTACTCCAGAGGGAAGCAAACCAGGGGAAAAAAAAAAAGGGGAAAAAAAAGAAAAGAAAAAAAAAAAGGAAAAAGGACAGGAAATGAGGATCAGCACATGGCCAGGAATTTGGGGAAATTACATATTTAAGGTGGAACAAGCTAATGTCTTTAAGGTGGATTCCATTTGCAAGCTGCTGGATTTGTTTTTTATTTCTACACATTGATGCATGCGTGTTCAGTCTCCATTACCCAGCCCAGCAGACAAGAAGGCAGCAGGCTTCAACTGCACTCTCTTCCTGCTCTCTCTTCCCCCACGCTCACTGCAGAAAGATTTGTTCCTTTTAAGGCACTCAGTAGTCAGAAAAATGTCTTTCTGCAGAAGATGAATCCTTTCCTGAATGGCACCTAACAGTACACAGAGCAGTTTAAGTCTAATAAACAGCAAAGGACCATCTTGCAGGGATGGATCAACATATCAACATTTCCAAAAGTGTTGTCCACTAGATGATCTTAAGGTCCTTTTAACCTTAACCATTCTATGATGCTATGTTAAAAACCCCAACTGTTTCTAAAAGCAGTTTAATCCGCCAGCAAGACGGCTCCATAGGCAGAGAGGTTGATGGCTGACACCCAACACACTTATCACACACATATGGGAAGGTCCTAACTCACCTTTCAACAAGAAGAGTGGTTGCTCAACTCAAAATGCCTCTTACAAAAAAGCCAAGGGCATGCTGTATTCCCTAACTACAATGGGATGGCTGGAGCATCCACTGTCCTTGCAGTAGATCACCATGAAGTGGCTACTTAAGCTACTGCAGCAATAGTCACTGTCTGCTAGAATCCACTTCTGCTATATAGAAAAGTGTGTGTTTTGGGTTGGCCTGAAGGGGTATGTGAGGAAAAGCAGGGAGAAAGAAAAGAAATTCTGCTTACTGTAGAACTGTTAATATTGCAAAGAGGAATCTACAGTAGTCATACGGCTTCATTTAAGAATAGCAAAATAAATTAAAGATGTCTTGCAGTGTTTCTCCTCTCTAAAAAGCCCCTATGTGCTCTTGATTCCTCTATCTGAAACTTTGGATTCCACTTCTGTGAATGATTAAAAGAGAAAAAATATGTGACCTGACCAAACCCAGGCATTTTTGAGTTCCTCCTATCTAGAGTGCCTTCCTGGCTCCCCTGCTACCTTTATTAGCCTATTCCCTCTATGGGAACATTAAACAGAAGTTAAAACTAAAAATTAAGAAACCCCATAACTCAACAGTATCAGTTTTCTAAGTAACGGACATCAAGAAAAACACCAGCACTGCTTCAGTCAGCATTTTCATAGTCCTCATTCATAGCTGATAAATCAAGCAGAATTCAAAACAAAAGCAAGTTTTGGCTTAAGGAAGGAAAGGGGAAGAGATAATAACTGCATTTACAAGCTGAATGTAAAAAGATGACTAAATGAGATGTTTTTCACTGCCTGAAAGAGAAGCCTGTGCTTATAAGCTACCTGTAGAATCACATCTTGTTTAAAGAGAAATGGGATTTCACAGCACTGGCAGATTCACATACAGATACAAAACAAGGGGCAGAACCAAGAAAAAGCACTAAACCTTAAGTATTGTGTATGCTTAGATTGACAAAGCTCTCAGCAAGTACTCATTCCTGACCTTATATTACTATCTAAGACATAGCTAACCTACATCCTCCCCATAAGCATTTAAAAGGAGGATTCTTAAGTCACAATTATCTTCTATGACAAACATATAACAAAGTTTGACACACAATGATAACTTCACCTGCCCTCAGAATCCAATCTCTGTACACTGGGAATATCTAAGGTGGACAGGCAGAAATCAGGCAAATTATTTGAGACCACCAATAAGTATGGACAAGAGCTATAGCCAGCAGACTGATCTCTTCCACTCCTGAAAATAGCACTACCTCCCCCAGACAGCTCAAGAGATCACAATCAGCCTTTCAGCATTGCTATCAATAGATTTAAACATGTTACAGAATAACTCTTATACCGGAAACACATTTAAGTTACATAGAACAGAAAGCTTTGATAGGTCTCACTGATCTTAACTTAGATACGGGCTTTTAACTTGAAGGAAAGAAAATAATCTACAAGTTCAGGAATTTCCCCACTGGAATGGTTCACAGCTTTCACAGACACTGCAGTGTTACTTTAACCACCATTGTATCATCATAGCCTTTTCTTTATATTCCTTCAAGAGGCATTACAAACAATTTGGACTTCCTTGCCTAGCTACAGAGTAATTTAAACACTAAGTGAAGGATCAGAAAAGCTCATTGTCACAGTTTCTGCAGCAGCCTGGCTGCATGGCTTCTTTACCTTATGTACCACCATCCTTCCAGGTTCTTTTGGATGACCTCCACGGTGACCCCTTTCTCGAACCCAATCTCATCCTTCCCCTGGCTGGCGTACGGCTGGATAGTGACATATTTCTCTTCTAGTGAGGGGAGAAAAGGCAACATCAGTTAGGGTCAGAATTAGTCCAGCTGTTTTTCTGCTCTGCTTGCTTTTAAACTGTTATGCAGTGATTACGTGGAGCCGTTACTAAAGGCGGAGCCCTACTCAGGGGCCCACTGATTATTTATGCTGACGACATGATAGATAATCAGCCCCTTGCCACTACCCTGCTGCTGATAATCACAAAGTGCTTCCATGCCAATAATGACACAAAGTCCCCTGAGAGCTTCCCCCTGCCTTCCCACCCCCACCCCCCTCCAAGTTCCTCGAGCGGGTAAGGGAGAGGATTTGAAACTGGACTGAACTCCCATACTGTAACTTGACAGAATCAACCTGGCTGCCAAATCAGCCAAGCGTCACCGCGGGAGCTCCAGCCAGTTGGCTCTTGGAACACGCACATGGCTGCAGAAAGCATTGTGTTACTGAAACCCTAGCCCTGCATCCCGAGAAGGACTGATCCTCCCCAACTCAGAGGGGCTGGCCCATCACACTGCTCTCCTGGCACCTCCCAGACAGCACATGTCTACAGCAACAAGCTTGAAACAGCATTAAAAAAGTGATAAAGGAATAAAGACATTTTGCATTTGACAGGAGACCATACAGCATTTGTACTTGTGAGCTGTGAAGAGCTTTGCATACTTTTCCTAGACCTCACTCCAGAAAAATAGACTTGCGGCAGTGGTAAACAAGGGCCAGAACTAAGACACACACTTCAAAAGCACAGGCTAGTTTTAAAGTATGGTGTCTGAGCCAAAAACTCAGCATCTCTGTTCATTTGCAGCATCTATCCCCTTCCCAGCCAGGCAGGGGTCAGTAGACTTCCTAAGAGCAAGCCAGTGAGCAGAACAGAACATACACTTTGTTAGCATCTTCCTCCACCCACCAGGAGTCATCTACTGTGGCATTTCCATCACGCTCAAGGTCAACCTTCTCCATTAGTTTAAAAGATTACAAATGGCACTGAAAACATGAACTACCAGCCTTGCTCTACAGCAGCAGACATGGAAAGCGTTACCATGCCCCTCTCCTGAACCCAAGCTGCAGTGCATGTAACAGCCTGAGTTTCTGTAGCTAGATCAAAGGGAGGGAAGGCAAGCAATAAAGTGCACCCTCACCAGCCTTCCTAGCACTTTCTACTGGCAGTCACAAGGCATGGCCAGGAATAAATAGTGGGTTGTCAGGGCACAGGAATGGGCAGGAAATTAAGTAAATCCAGAGCTCCTGATCGCTGCAGGACAAAGGAGGTAGGAAAGGTTGCAGCAGCTTGAGGCAAACACTCTTCTGGAGAGAGTGAAGCAGACCCAACCATCTGTTTGGCTCTGTGGCTCAACTGCATTCTGTTCCTGGGCAATGCATGGAAACTTTAAAGAAAAAAGCTAACCATTACTGAGAGAAAGTAAGAAATAATACCTCAGAAAGGGTGAGGGGGAACGTTGACAGAGCATCCGGTAGCAGAAAATTCAGCAAAGCTACAGCTCTGAAGTCGACCTCCCTTGATGAGTCACATTTGGATCCTTACAATTCTGGTCAGGTAAGACCTGTCAAAACCTTTGCCTCCAAGAGGAAAATACTGTCTCCTGCTGCTTTAACTGTCCTATCACTGATAACAAATTCCAGCTAGTTTGTAATTAGTACTATCAGGATATGACACCATCCCCACAGAAATACTCTATTACAAGATGGGGTCTGATAAATGAAACCTAGCTAATGAAACCTGGCTTCAAAGTCGCAGGAAAAGAGGAAATCTCTTTGAGAGGAAAGCCCTTTAGGTGACTCCTCCGCATATGGATGAAGGGCTGCATGGAAGTAGGAAGGGAAGAGAAGTTTTCCCATGAATTAGAGACAATCAAAAGTGTTAAAAATCCATTTAGAGAAGAGAGGGTCCTACAATGTTTTTGTTTAGCAGTTCTATTTGTAAGCCTACAGATCAAAAAGGGAAGCCACCATTACAGTTTCCTCTTGCAAAATGCCTTCATAGCAAAAACTACAGCCATTTCCAAGATTACACGTTTGGCTTCTTTCAGTAGTGCAGTGGCTACCACAAACATACATGAGGTTTGTAACTTAAAAACAGTATTATGGAGATACGGGCCTCCTTGCAGTCAAAGGGTGATTTTGCTTTGTTTCTCAAAGACCAGTTGTTTCTCTAGCCCGTGAGATAGTCTTTACACCAAGATTTGCTTAAGGGAGCAGTGGAGCTTTCAGTGGCTGTGTTACTTAAGACAACTGATGCAGGATTCAACATATCAGACTACTAGTCCAGTCTTTAAGAGAAGATATTTTACACTTCATAACTGATAAAGTTACTAGAAAGAGGTATGAGAGAATCAGGAGAGCATCTGTCAGTAGAAAGACACTGCTCTGAATTACACTAACAAATCCGAACTTTCATGATGGTTTCATCCACCTACAATGACAGGCAGTGGTATAAGACACAAGTCACTAAACCATCCCAGACCTACCATCAAAGTTGTATGCCCAGATCTACAGAGAATACAGAAGTGTTTAATTTTGATTCATTAAATTTTGATTAAAAATTACCAAAGGAGGGAAAAAAAAAAGGCAAACAAAAGTATAATTCATATTCCCCAGCTGCAGCTTCTATTACATCAACTTCACCATTGAGGTCAAGTGGGCAGAATAAACTTTACTACATGTTACAGAGTACATTCATCAGCCAAAAGGCTACACCTTGGAAATAATGGGATGAGAATCCTGCTACACTTCAATACAGAAATAGCATGAAGGCACCCTTGTTCTTAGCACCTGACACCAGGAGATCTGTTAATGGCTCAACTGGCTAACTTCACTTATACTCCTTTACCCCATTTTGCAGGTCAAAGATGCCTCCCCAGCTAAACTGGAGGAGGTATCTCTATTGAAAATTCAACTGCACTAGTAAATCTGAACAAGGCACACATGAAGAAGCAAAGTCTGTTTGGCAAAGGGCTACAATCTGTCACATCATGTTATCCAACTTCAACCCACTTAGCTTAGAAAGGAAGGATTCATACATGTCATTCTCCTTCCTACCCAAACAGAAACTATTTAAAACAGGCACAGTAAGAACTTCTGCACTGTTTGGGCTACCCAACTCAGGCACTTGTAGCTGTGCTCTGCCCAGCCCTCCCAGAAACCTCAGCTGCCCCAATGATCAGTGCACTAGCTATTCTAAAGCCTCACTTTCCTGTCAATCTTTCTATTCTTCCCTTTCTCCTCCCCAAATAAATGCAGGCTTCTATTTCACTTTGCTTCTACCCAGTCTCCTGAAGAGAGACAGTAGAGGCTTGGGGCCACAGAGACAGATCCTGATGGATCACTGGGAAAACAGTGCGGACAGCAGAGAACAGCTCCCATGTCCTTGTAACAGCCCATTTCCCTTTCTTTCCTTCATCTTGCCTTGCACCCACCACGTCTCCTTGCTCAGTTCATGGCTCTTCCATGAGGTGGACCTGAAGCCAACCTGGCCAAGGAAAAGTCAGCATGACCCTAAGTCTGGTTTGCTTCATTGCAAATCTGCATGAGCATAAAGGAGAAGGGGAGCTGCTGGGAATGCCTCTTTTAGTCGTGGCACCACAAACTCTGAGTAAAACTCTTCTTTATATTAAGCCAAGCCAGTTTCAATGCAGCTTCACTAAATTTTGAGGGAAGAGGCCTATTTCTGAGAGTGCTGGAAGCAGAGTCAAGGCAACCCATATGAAACTTGATCTAAGCCCAGGTTAGCACAGTTTAAGTGTGCTCACACATCATTTCCCACCTATTTTAAGATGCAGCTTAATAAAGTGCAACTTTTTTGCATAAATAGGATTTGTAGCACAGCTCTTAAACCATCACATGATTTACAGTAAAGCAAGATTACCTGTAGGCACCTTGGCAATGCTTACCAAGTAGTAAAAGGTCACCTTTGCAGCCACTGGGGACTGAAATACTACTTCTGTCTCACCCAGCCTGTTAATAGCTATGCTACAACATACTGGTTGCAGAAAAACAAGGGATGCCATATTTAACTTGTTACATTTTAGCAGGACTTAATGTCAATGACATTTATTTCCAGATAATGGCAGACCATAACAGAGCTTTGCATTTTTATCTTTTGTGTAAGACTGCAGCTTGTAATTAAAGAGCCAGCAGATGCGTCCGCTCCTTCCTTCACACTGCCTTTACACAGCATAGTAACCAAATAGGTTTTCTTTTGTTTCACCTGATGTATTTCTGTCTACTAGTAAAAGGGGAATCTCAAAGAATTTATAAGGATTGAGCATGGTGTTTTCCATATCAGGTGACGTGTTAGGACACCTCTCCTACAGGAAAAGCCTCAGAACAGTAAAGATGAAACTTTGTCTGTTCCTGAAGAAACTGTGCCTAACTATTTGACAGAGCAAGACACCAAACTTGTCAGCTTCCCATCTGTCAAACCAGAATTTCAGACTTTGCACGTGCGTTTGCGCACACACATACTACATATTAAAGTTATGAGGTGTCTTGAGAAGGCAACTTGGTCTCTCCTCCGGCTGTCTGGATTTATACTTACTGTCAGGTCAAGGAAAGCAGACCTATGGTTTTACTGCTTGAGTTGTAACGTAGAGCTTCAGTAGCACTTTCCAAATCTTCGTGATTCCCTTGGCACTGGTTATTTCAGATTCTTCCTAGTCTATCACCAAGGTAACGGTTCCTTTCCTCAACATCTTCAAAATCCTCTATCGCTGCTGCTCCTCACCACCAGAGCCCTGAGCTGGCCTTTCAACCTCCTTTGTACAGCTACTGCAGTCACCTCCTGCCTCCTCTGCTACTTTCTCAAAGGAGCAAAGCACACTGCTCTCACCAAAGGCTCTTGGCATAGCAGCCAGACTTTGGTCTTTACCAGGTACTTTGGTACCTCAGCCAGATTCCTACCAAGTGTACATCAATTCAGTTGTCTTACCTCAAATTTTTAAGCTTGTGTGATGTGCCTTGCTTTAATATCCAGCTACATGCTCTCACACGTTCTGCTCCCTTCGTATTTCTCATTCCTCCAGATCTTTCCATCTTTTCTCACTCAGCCCCATGCCTTTCTTATGATGCCTCATCAACCTAAGCAGGCTCCCTCCTCCATGGTACCAATAACCCAAAACTCTCAAATCCTTTCTAAAATAAGCTTTACCTAGCCTGACTTCCTGCCTTGCCAAACAAGGCTGGCTTTAGCCCTTCTCGAAAAGCTTTTAAAAATACCAAATAAATATCACTTTCCACTGTGAAAAACGTTTTGGTCATAGTAAGATGCATGCCAAATTGCCACTTGCCCAGGTTCCTTTGATGCACAAATCTCCTTCTCTTTGTTTAGGCTGTAAACTATCTGGGACAGGAACCTTGCCTTTAAGCAGCTAAAATACCATGCACGTTTCCAGCCCTGCCTAATCAGTCTCATCTCTCCCAGGCAAATGGCCAGCGCTCAAACGTTTCTGCTTCCAAGTTCTGAGCGCCCCGTTTCACATACCTCTCCTTCACCTATATTTTATAAGTTTGCTCCTTTCTGCCTCCATAAAGAAGTGTGGAAGTTATCTACAGCGCTTCAGGAGCCAACCAAGTCAGGGAGTCATTTCCTTTGCTCAGCTAGTGTCTGTACATGCCCCCAGCTTTCTGTGACCCCATCCTTGTTCGATATGCCAGTAGGAGTGGGGGATAGGGTTTGAAATTAGCCAATTAATGATTTCTCAGCAAAATGCAACAGCTCCAAACCTACGTCTTCCAAACCACAGAAGAATTCTCTTTCAAAATACTTTCCCCTCAGTCAGCAGTCTGCTCTCGCCCTCCCCCACTCCTCCACTCCCCCCCCCTTTGTCAGACCTGCTTCTGGAAAAAGTCTCACTGTTCCAGAAAGCGATGCATTAATTCAACATGGACTTTGTTTTACTTGTCTAAATACGCAGCGCAGAAAATAACTGTCCACAGTTATCAAATGTGTTCATCTGCAGACAGGAGCTCTTCAGCCTTTGTTCCTCATCTGCAGGCCCCTCACCCTCTTTTTGGTTTTAAACAACAGAAAACCTTGTGCCAACAGATAGAAAAGAACAACAATGACATTTCTTCTGAACAGTTCTGTACTGCGCACGCTCTTTCTTCAACCAGCAAGGGGCAATAAACATTTACTACTTTCCTTGGAGCACAGAGGAGGGGAAAAAAAAACCCAGATGAAAAACTAAAAAGAACAAACCACGTCTGAAGCCGCTCTGTGCTGGTTTGATTTATGCACAGCAAAGCAGCCTTGTGCTGCAAATGACAAACACTTCACCAGCGTCAAGGAGAAGCAGCAAAAAAACAGTGGAAACAAAGAGAGAAGGCCTGTGGGTAGTGAGGGGGCTGTCAAAGAGGGCAGAGCAGCTCTGGTGGGATGCAGAAGCACACCAGCCAGGCTGTATCACCAGTACTGATCAAGGGTTCTTGCCACAGCTAGAAAACTGATTGCAGAATGACTCAGCCAGGGTAGGAGATGGGGTTCAAGTATCAAGACCAATTCAAGATAGGGTTCAAGTATCAAAGCCTGTTGGGTTACATGACTGACCTCTGTCTACGCCCCATCTCCCACCATCAAGCTCCCGCTCTCCATAAGTTACGCAAGTAAGAGGAAGACCTATAGTTTCCAAATTCTAACTTTAACTCTTTCACTGAATAGCTTATTTTTTTTGTGCTAGCAGCTACTCTTAAGTAACAGGCTCATTTGGCAGAAATTCAGCCCATATGTCACTATACTGTTGATATGAATAACTTTAAAGTACTTTCCCGCATTGTAACAGCTCCAGTTGAAAGTGTTGGGCATAAAACCAAAGCAGCAATAACTTATGTCAACTATCTGGCATATAAAACAGGCATGTAAACCCCCTCTTTTCCCAATCAAAATTGAATAGCACAAATGACTTCTCATTAAATTAGCTTGTAAACAATCCTAAATTATCTTCCAGGGGAAGTTCCAAATAGATGCATGTGTAGAATTACCATTTTACCCAGCACAAGGGAACATGAATTCTGCAGCTTGGAGGTCTGACAAGTGTCAGGACTGAGGAAAACTACAAAGGTTCAGACTTCTCCTTACAATTCATATTTGTATTACTGGAGTTTCGTAATGTATAGACAAAACTTTAGAAAATGTACCACATTTTAAAACATTTAACATGTAAAAGAAACAAGCTCCGCAGCTACATAAGAAACATAAACCAATGTAATCTCTTAGATCTGGGTACACCATGGACCATTTTAAAGAGGAAAGTTTAGCAACAAATGCCATCTGTTTCTCTTTGTAAAAACAGACTACAGCTGTTCTCTTTGCAGATTTTTTTCAGCTTTAAGAAGGAGCACTACCGTGATATTCAATACTTTGTCCTTCGTGTTTCGTATTCATGGACCCAGTAAGATTTCCCTCAAATATCTGAAGTTCAGGGATGCTCAGCCTTTTGAAATGGCTTTGCAAAGGGTAGAGGTAAATATGTTGTCCTTGATAATTCTCCCCTGTTAGGTAGTCTGTAACAGGGAAGCAAGCACTCTTCCCTTCCACACTCAGGCTTTCCTGGTGTTTTTAATATCCAAGTCCCTTAGAAAATCCTGGTCTTCAGAAACAACATGGAATTCCTTCAGTTCTCACTTTAAAGTGATTCTATCATAGACTTAGGTGATAAAAACACTTTTATTAGTGGAACCTAAGCATAAATAGGAAGGGAAGCATCTCTTACAGCTTGCTTTTAAACTCCAGTGACCTCTTGGAGCTAACCCAACAGCAGGGACTATCTTGAGCAGAATATCACTGGGTGGGGAGAATTGCAGCCAAAATGTTTAATTGAATTTATTTCCAAGAAAGAGGCCAAGTGGGGAAGGGGAAGCTGTTCTGCCTGCATTGAACAATTCTGGCAAGCTCCTGGTTGAGCAGCTCTTCTAGTCCTCCTGGGCTTTGGAGCAGGGGCTTGAGGGTTGGCAGGGGGTGTGTGTACACTTCATGCATTCTGTCATTTCAGTGCAAACCCACCCAAATTTGGCCTTGTTAGGAAGTCGTTTGGGTTGGGATGAGGGCAAGAAGGGAGAAAGAATCTCTTCTGACCTCATATAAACTGTGTTCGTTTAGAGAACAGCAAGCTGGACACCCAGAGAGACTTGTACTTTCAACAACAGCATTTTGGAAGGCATAAATGTCTGTACAGACTACAGCTGTGTCAGATGACAAAGCCACTGTCTCCAACCTGTCCCCAAGTATTCAAATCACTTCCTTTACTTCCAATAAGCCTCCTTTTTTAAAAAAGCTCACTAACCTACTATTTCAGATGACATCAACCAGCTTGTTTTTAGCCAGCTTGGACAGCTGTGGCTGAAATGCATTGCAGAGAGCTTATAGAAGCAGCCCAGCCATGGAGGGTGCCCCAAACTTTGAGATGTTGCAGTTTGTGCCAAGTTCAAGTGCCGAGATTTAGTTCTAGATAAAGCACATGTTCTCCAACACACTCAAAACCCCAGCATTGCTTGGTCCTAATAGGGGAGAAACTTACGGAACAAGAAAAAGGCAGGGATGGAAGAGATTAGGGGAGCCTGTGCTGGGGAAGACTGCCAGAGAAGACACTGTCAGAGGGCAGTTCTGGAGCTGAATCCCACAAATGGTGGGCATAAAAGTGAAAAAGATAAAAGCTGGGAATGCAGTTTAGGTCCTCAAATTTTACCTCAACACTATGCTACAGGACTGATCATGCAGTTTTAATATCTTATGGAGCTTTGTTTGTGGTATTGTATGAAGGATATATTTGTTTAAACTAGTAAACAAGCTGTTTAGAAAACTGATTCCCAGAAATGATCCCAATTAATTTGCCTGGAAGTATCTGGCAGAGTTTGACAATGCAAAATAAGTAGCTCCCAAATTCCTGTGGTACAGAAACAAGCACAGGTTCTTTTGCCTCTGAGGAGTAGTTCCAGTTGCTGCAGGGTCTCCAGTAGGAAGAACACCCTTCTCGTTACTTTGGTTTCATCAACAGTATTTTGAAGCAAATGAAAAAGGTCACTGAGAAGTTGTATGTGCTGCACACACGAGTCTGCAAAAAGAACCACCACCAAATCCAGGAGAAGACAAATTTGCTACTTTTAAAGTACACTGTCTCCTTAGCAGGAAAAGGCACCTTTTCCTCAACCCAGAAGCTTCTCTTGTGGTTACATTTGGTTCCATTGCCTCAATAAGTTACAGAAGTGAAAATTGTACTTCCCCCCACCTCTTCCCATTTTGAACTGTAATGAACACCACATCTGGACAATCTTGCAAGAAGAGTAGAAGGGGATAGAAAGGGGTACATTTGCTCTTGAGAAGATGATTCACACGCACCGAAGAAGTGCTTGGGTTGGAAGATACCTCGGACTTCACCCAACCACAGCTTCAGAACACAAAGTGCTCTCCCCTCCAAAGGCTCAGTGTCAGACCAGCAAAGCTAATAAATAGATACTGCTGCTGGTGGTCTTTTAAACACCTCGGACTGACACAAAAAACTCCCAAAAGTTCTGAAGGAGTCTGTCTTTAGTACCAAGCACTGCTTGCAAGAAAGAGCAAGCTGAAACTGGAATGCTCATCTTTCCACTCCAAGCACTTTTCCAGCGCACACATCTTTGACCATGGCTTTTGGCATTCTTCTCATTTTCACAGCCCTGAAATATCACTTGTCCTTATTGAGGTAGGAAAGACTGAGTATAAATGTGCCCAAAGTTAAAACACAACAGATGTGAGCTTCCCGAAGCAGCGCAAGGAGTCAGACTGCAGAGTTACCTTTGATTATCAGCATCCAGCTCTTGGGGTGCCTAACCCTGGTTCCAAGACACCCTCATGCTGTCATGTACAAAATCCACATCTGAACTCTGGAGCTTTGGCCTCTCTCTACCAGAGTGCCGAAGATGCAGACCCCGGTACACCACAGCCAAAGCTGCAGCATGGCTTGTGGTGCACCCTTAGAGGCTGGTGCCATAGGAAGCTATTAATTCACCTCGACTCTGCTGCCTGTTGACTATCCCTCCCAGCGTCCATCGCCGGTCCAGGCGCCTCAGGTGAGCCTTGCGTCGCTTAGAAACTAGTTTGGAACATGGAATGAAAAAATAAAAACAAAAAAAGGAAAAAAAATGATGGGAAGGTGAGGAATAAAAATAAAACATGGCATTTGCAAGCACTGGTCTTGTTAACAGGAATGAGTTAGGTGGCGTGCAGACAACTTGGTTTAGTTGATATAGTGTAGTGGAACAAGTTAGATTATTGAGCCTGATCAACACAAACCACCTAGAAATGTCATAAATTGCCACTCTTGTTATGGCTTTCCTTAGAAAAAAACCTAAAAGCCAAAACATGCACACACCCCAAAACAAGATGTACAATTTAAGGCTGCTTGTCCAAGGAGGTTGGATCAACATCATTGCTGTTGCACCTCCTAGTTAGGGTGCACGATCTTTGGAGGTTTCAGTCTATAGTGCATGACATAAAAAACAGGGCTCTAACCCTCTTTAAGCAAATTATTACACTATAAACAAAATCTAGGGGATAAATAATAATTAGAAAAAGAGGCAGCCTGTCTTGTGCGAGTTCACTTGTAACAGGAGCACTCAGGTAAAGAAGCCAGGTGGAAAGTGTCTGATGTCTCCTTGTTTATAACATGACTCAATCGCTGCCACAGCTAACTGTCACAATCCAAACTTCTAATATACTGATTACAAATACAAGAAAAAACCTAACCTTGCAATTACTGAGCAGGCTCAAGAAGCTAACAAGCCAGAACTGGGAATTAGGTACACACTGAAACAATAATTTATACTTAAATTATAAACAAAGACAAGACACCTATGGAAATGGCATTGAGAGCAGCTGTGCACAGAGGACACCACTTTTGCTGGGATTACATACATAGAACTATTCAGTGCCTTCTTGTGAAGGTGTGAACAACATAGGAACCATTGGACTGCCATATAAACACAGACAAACGCTTCCTTTTTTCCATTCATGGGTTTCCATGCTCTTTTGACAACTACTGCAAGGGTGCTTGCTGCTGCTACAAAGCAATGTGAAGTATTACACTTCAGCTATCACTAAGGTGCAAACACAACTGTTTCGCTAGTGATACAGGGAAACTGTAAACTCTGACATCAATAATCACTCAGTTCTGCTCACATGTACCCATGAGAGCAGACACCACTGTCTTCTAGGATCATGTTCTGTGGACAATCAGGCACAGAAAAATTATCTGATTTGGGAATGATTAGCTGAAGAAGTAAAAAAAAAATAGTAATTCCCCTAGAAGGGGCTTTTGTCTCTTTGCCCTTTATATCTGTCAGGGGCTTACAGACCAGACATCATACCCTGCTCACTCTCCTCATTTGCTCCTGTGTTATAAAGCCTAAACCTTCCTCAGTGAACTGGAGGTGTGGTGAGTGTTGTTGAACAGACCCGATGTCTTATTTATGGTATTCTGTACTTCCCTTTGTTGCCTTGTGCGCCATAGAAAAACCACAGATTTTCAGAGGAGCTGGATTTCAAGCTTATAGATCGCTGTGTTTTTAGCTGGAAATCAGTGATCCTCTTGGAAGCCCCTGGTGGCACAGAACGTGAGCTGTCTTCACTCCCTACTGGTAGAGTTTTTCTTACCAATTGCTTTAACCTGGTGGCTTTCTCCAAATCAACAGGACATTAGACTGCCAGTGACACAAACGCTACACAAAAGGCAGCATAAGACACCTCACTAGACATATAGATTATAGCAGCGAGATAAGTTAAAGCTAAGGTCATGATAAGGCTGCCTGTATTAGGAGATGTCTATAGAAGAAGAGAAGAAACGAAAGATATTGAACTTAAAGGCTTGCAGGAGGGGTGTGGAAGGGGTAGGATTTGCTTCAGCTGTCAACACAGAGCAGTCCCCCACAGCTCCTTGCTCTCACCAGGAGTTTGGAGGATTGAGTCATCCAGCAGCACCCCTTGGACACAGTGGGTCACACAGATCCACCACACACTCTCCTCCTCAAAACATATGACTGCCCCCCAGTGATAGCCCTGTTACATCATGATGCTTTCTTAGGAGTCAGGGGGTTTTTCCCCTCAACAATACTGAATTTTGCCATTTGACCTCAGACTTGGACTTAGTTGATCATATTAGAGGTAGTCACCAGAAAGGTTATTTATCAACAAGTGTCTAAACCTTTGCAGAGACCATTTTAAGATGTTTACTTTAACAGATCTTGTGGCTGCAAATGTTTCTTTAGATTGCTTTCTGAATGTTTTCCAAGCTTTGTAAGATACTGTTGGTCTAAACACAGGCCCAGGTAGCAGTCGACTGTCTAGCCTCAACCTGACAAAAGATGTTGTGCAGGCTTCAGTGCAGGGAGGAAACACTTTTGTCTTTCTAAGGGAACAGACTATTCAAACAAACACACGTGGAAGTATTACTGCTATGTAGAGGCAGCATTATTAGTAAGTTGCATTCAGCACCTCCTTATCTACAAGGGGCTGCCACAGCAGAGCAGACCTCTCAGTCTGCTTGGCTTGTGGACTTGTTCCAGGCTTGCTGCAAATGGAGAGGGCCATGAGGCTGATACAGAAAGCTCCCTGCATTAGTGTTTCTACCCTTTCAAAGTACGCAGAGCACAGACTTCACAGCTCCAGGAAGCAAACATCTCCAGGAGTCACTCTGAAACTTGTATGAACTCTAAATCCACAAGCTAGGGCACTTAATGCACTGAAGTGCCTTCCTCCTCAGTTATACTGGAGGCTCTATCTCCTGGCAAGTTTTCTGTGTAAGTATATACACATTTATAAGCTTTCCTTTAAAGAGAGTGAATCCGAGTTGTTCTTTCCTCTCTTATGAAGTAACTATTAGAGGAGAAAAGCAGCCCAAGTAAAGAACTGTGGGGTACAGGGACAGGACACACAACAAAGAACAAAAGAAGTCTCAGCTTATGTGCTTAATAACAGAAAACAAAGTTACAGAAAAGCAAGCGAAAGTTGGGGCACATCAAAGTAGCGATTGAGGTAATGCGATTACATTTGTCACTGAGATGGAACTGAACAGAAAGGGAAGAACAGTCTCAGGTTTCAGCATGTATGGATTTGGAGCAAGGAAAGGAGCAGGACTACTGACCATAGCTGAAAAGAGCAGTATAATGGATTAAAGGGGACCAAGAGGAAAAAGATAAGGAACACCTCATGGATTTTCCATTACCCAAGAAAGACCGCTGTGTGGCAACAGCCCTGTGTAGAGTATGCCCCAGAGGGCAACGTGAAAGCCAGAGGAGAGCTTGAAATGAAAATAAGGCTGTCAAGCATACATCATATTTAAGAGCCAGGAAAAGGGAGGAAGCTACAAACCAACAGGCAGGGCATTCTTCAACTCTTTCAGAAAAGAGCAGTAAGCTTTTGTTCTTTACTAACAGGGAAACTTTACTAACTGCTTTTGCGTTCGCTAACATGTTGCATCATACCAGACTGGTTACTGGCCTACCAGTCTACAGCCAGTCTGTCTCTAAACCCTAAGTGACCCAGGATATGGGTAGCTTTGAGCAGGGAAAAATGAGCTACAGAGCCAAAGATTTCAATAAGCCACAGATGTCACCCCTTGGGGCCCAGCACAAAGTTATGTTTTGCCTGTGTGCTATCTTAATGGACAGATGGCCACCCCTACACATCTCTAATCCTCCTGCCTGTAAGGAAAGAAAGGTCAGCTGAGTTTTCACATACGTTTTACATAAGTGTCACATCAAGAGCACCTAGAAATTTAGCAAGAGATTCATTAGAATGAAGAAAATAACAATAAAAGTGTCCTTTGTACACAGTTGCTACATGAGAAGTCTATTAAGATGTGGTTAGTCTTTCATAACGGAACAGAGGAACATGTGAGGTTGTACTATTCCATTTCTGGAACCTGAATTTAGCATCTTTAGCCAAAAACCAGCACAGCTAAATGCATATACATGACAAACGGCATCTCAATTCTAAAAGAATGAGACCACACCAAATAAAATTACCTTTCCACACAATCATAGACCATAGCAAGCAGCAGTGAAACTAGTATTAAAGATTAATTAAAAAAAAACTGTAATAAGAAGCAGCCATTCAAGTTAAATCTCACTCTTTCAACGGCCTGTGGCTCTATCAAGCATCTTTTTCCAGTTAAAAGCTTCCACTTGTATAGTTTCTGCAAACAAGCCATGCAAGTTCTCTCCTTCCATAGACATGAAAGTCTGAGACCTCTACCAGAACATAGGGGTTGCACTTGCACATGAGTTGTTTGTGTGATTTTTAAAAGGTATTAAAATGAGCACCATTTCAGCTTTTGAGCCTCCAGTCACACTGACAGCCTAAGCTGCTCACAAACGGATTACAGGCATGGTACTTCAATTTCTTCTGCAACAATTTTACTGATATAAAAGGTTATTGCACTAGATGAACAGCCACAAGTGGCAACAAGAGTTTTTGGAGTTTTCCTATGGGGAAACAATCAGAAAGCAAGCAATACCAGTTTCCCCTTGATAACAAAAAGCTTTCCATACCTTCCCCAAGTTTGGATGTGTTGATGTCAGAGTCATCTCTGGTTCCATTTTGGGATTCCAGGTATGTAGCAGGGACCCAGCCCTGCTCCTCTGCTGTGCTCACAAACCACCAACCTACAAAAAGAAGTAAAGGAAGTTGCTCATTCAACATTAAGAGGAATAAGAACAGCAGGATGCTACAGAAGAGGTAACACAGAGTCAGCAGCTTGGACTATTTTAAGTAGTCTAACCCCCCTAGAGAGGGGTTTAGTTCTATTATACAATTTCTATGAGATACTCTCACAGCAGTAAATGAATGTGCAGGCAGGCCTCATGTGAAAAAAGGGTACAATGCAGCAAGCAGTTCATTTTAAGAAACCTGAAGTCTATCCATGAAAGCTCTGATCTGAGTTCTCCAATTCAATTTCTCAAAGCAAGTCTTGGGATATGTGCATCTACAGTATCAAAACACTTTGTATGTATATAGATGAAGTCACAGAAGTCAAAAGATAGAAATAGGCAAGACTTCAGTAGAAGGGCACATATTTCAAAACAGGATACAAAAGAAGTGCTTCCAGAGCACTTTCCACCACAGCTGTTGTTTAACAAACATGACCTGAATTCAATTCCCTGGGAAGCTGGGAAGTACTGCGCAGAGCAGAAATACAAGAGAAAAGCTAACTGAAATGTGACTTCAGGCCATAAGCACCAGCTATTTGCTTTCCCACCTGAACGTCCAAGCCTCTACGACTATCTACAAACATCTTCAATATTTACCAGCTCTACACAATTAATGTTTAGGTTACATCTGTGGATAAAATTTAGAGGTGAGCCATCTTTAGGGTAAATGCATCCCAACCATAACTACCTTTGCCTCTTTTCTTGCTGGCTACATTGATTTATTGAATCCTCTACTGGTTTTGATGTACAGTCACTCATCCAAGAGCTTGCTGCTCTCAGATATGAGCATAACTAGATTCTGCTCCATTCAGATAAGCTCAGGGTTAAAATGCAGGACAATAGAAAGCCAAGCAGGTAAACCATTTCTGTTGTTTTCTACAATCTCCCAGTCTCCCCCAAAAACGCAGGTTGCTTTGCCAGGACAATGCAAACTATTGTTCAACCCCAGTCTTCCAGCCCCTCCAAAGGGAGCTGAGAAAAACAGCATTTCTAAACATGCAACTCGAAACAGTTAACAGATCTTGATGGCTGTCATAAACCCAACAAATTTCAATGGAGGCTCCCAAGCCTGCAGCAGGGCCAAGCCAGCTTGGTCTGTAAATAGATGGGGCACAAACCCTAGTTAATTTATGGTGGGACAAAGCCCCAGGCTGTGTGACAGCCACAGCCAGGAGACCGCAGCCCTGGGCTCAACAAGGGGAAGGGGGGCTTCACTGGACTCTGCCAACATGCAACTTTCTTTGAAGACAAAAAGTACTTGAGCAATGCTCAAGTGTTCATGCTAAAAGTCACCCAAGTTCATTCCAAATCCTGTCATGGAAGATTTTACCAGAAAACAGTTGTTACAAACTCTCCTTCTCCTCTCTGGGGGCCATGGATGGGAGACAATGTGCCCCAAGCAACAAACCTCTCACTTGCCACCACACAGCTGCTAGGTAGCTCTATTTATTTACTCTCAAACCCCAGACACTGCTCTCCATTTTCTGGACTAGTAGAGGTTTGGAAACTTTGCTTCACAAGGCTCATGGTTGGAAAGTTAAATTTAGTTATTCCCCCTCAGCAGGAGGTGGATTCTCCTGCCATGAAGCCCACAGCAGTGAACACACAGGATCTGCCAGACCGTTTCAAACACACATCTCCATGGTTGTTCCTTATTTTACTAGCAATGTATCGACATGCGTAGCAAACACACTTTAGCACACACTCATAATTTGGCACAAAATGTGAGAAGTTGGCTTTCAGCTGATATAAATCAGACTAGAATAGTTTATGTAAACTCTTCCTCAGAAAGAAATTAAACACAATTGCACAAAAAGAACTTGCCTACACTTAAGAACGTGTGCTGAGGCCAAATTCAAACCATGGTAAAAACGTCTTTGGAGGCCTGGATCTCCCAGACTTGTGACACAGTGCTAGTCCATTTCACAATACACCTCCTCTGGTTTGGCTCACTGAGCTGTATCATGGCCTCAGAGCTGAGTTTAAGGTCTTGTGTTTGGGGCCATAGTGTAACTGAGCCTCCATCCAAACCATCTAAACTGGGCTCCCTGCTAAAAGGCAACCCCTCACCACCACCCCTAGGCACGCATACACATATCTTCCCACTGCTTCTAAAAAGCCATAGCAAGGAAACCTTTCAACTCCCTGATCTTAAGAACAGGCTCCCACATACTGGCTGGAAGTCAAGTCACATTTGAGGAAGGTTATAGTCAAGTAACGCAACCAAATTCATTGCAATATGCAGACAGAGCATGTAACAGTCTAAGTGAGGTTTTAAGCTGCTTTGATTCTTCAAACCTTCACTAAGATTGAAGCTCCTCATCTCCACAGAGCTCATGAAAGTTATCACTTGTTTCTAAAGATTCCCTTTATAAAGTATGTGCAGGGGTAAAGTATATCTGAGAAACCTTCTCTGCTACTGAGAAATTAGCAGCATCTGTCCAGATTGAGAAAACCAGTCTCTGTTTTTGAGTTCTCTTCTTCCATTTCAAGCTTGCTTCTCAGAAGGACAAAAGAAAGGCTTTAATGCAGCTCACTCAATGGCATGTCCACACACACACACACACACAAGGTGTGTTTGACTTAAACAGCCTGAACAACTGAGAAGCCTGAAAAACTCCCAGCAGCACTCCTGGCAGCAGAGAAGTCAAAATCGGATGATGCTCACAAGCAAGATGTTCACGGTCTTAGATTGCCTGAGCAGAGATTGCAGAGGTAGCTCACTCCCTGTGAGGCAAAAACCTGAATTATGATGGCATATCTAAGCCAGGAAATTCAAACATAGTGCAAGAATTAAACTCCTAGCAGAAAATGGCTGAAGCACAAGACAAGTTCCACAATGCAGTCCATGCATGACAGCAGCCAACTGCAGAACTCTGCCTAGCTGATTGTGAAGTACTTGCTCTGCACCATCCCCTCTTTAGAAGGACTAGGGTAGCTGCCATTTGGTCAAACCATTCTTTCTCCTCCTCCTCCACCCCAAGTTCATAGGAGTTTCACAGTTTGCAGACAGACTGACCTTAGTTTGTGCCATTATAATCCTGACTTTCTGCAACCAACCTCTTGTCCCCTCCCCTGCCATCTTTCCCAACCCAGAGCATCACAGAAATGTTGTTAGAGAAGTTGCTTTTGAAACAGTGAACAAAACATTGCATTTATTTGGAGTTCTCCCTCTATGCTGGAATTGAGCTCAACTTCACAATCCATTATTAAAACCATTCTGCAGCAACATCTGCAGAGAATTATGTAAAGTTATCTCTGTGCACTGCCAAGCCAGTCTGAGGTTCATTCTTGCGCTCACACCATCTGTAAAAATTAGGCAGTGCTTTACAGCTTGTGTTAACCCTTACAGATGCCCTTACCTCTCATGCATTAAAACACAACTCTAAAACTGATGTGGCACAGATGCCTAGACCGAGACTTATCAGCCCTCATCCCTGATGAGCATTCAAAGGACCTTTGAGTCTCACAGAAGGCACAGAAGGAATTGCAGCCACTGCGTGCAGACCAAGCTCACCTTGAGCTTTGCAACATTACTCCAAACCCTGCCTTAATACTCATCCAATAATATGATTTTTTTTAAGGTACAAATACAATTTTCTTCCTACATTTGTTGACTCTTTGGTTGTCATCTGTCAGCATCCCTAGCTGCAATAGCCAAGATGCCTCTATACTAAGAATCCACCTAGACTCCAATAACCCTCAGGTATCTTCAGTATAGAGCTACAACAGTTACCAAGAGACAAAAGGTTCCACTTTTCACATATACATACACATGGCAAGATGACGGTTGCCAAACGCATTGGTCGCACGAGTCAATAAATGACTAAAGTACTACAACCGTAAAAATCATATTCTTGCTTTTAATTGTATTCATAGTCCTGTCACCAAAAGCTTTCTCAAAAAAGCAAAAGACTTAAGGCAAGTGTTATCCACAACCTGCACCATGGGAAACTACAAGAGCATAGTTAAAGGACAGTCTTTTAGGCAACTTTACACACATCCTCACCCTTCCACGCTTCAATATTGTCCTTTTCTCCACACCAACAGGAAACCTAGCTATTCCTGTTGAAGACCACCTAATCATAAGAAGCTACAAATCACTTAAAATGAAAATGCATGATTATGCTGCACATTGGTTTCTAATTCTCCTCTCAGCCATTAATTTCTCTATAGACTTTGACTGTCAATTTATGAGCTTAGCTAAAGTAAACAAGAAAGATAGCAACACTGTAAAAGTGATCAGGATGCATGAGTGGACTACCCATTCTTCTAAACAAATACTTAAACAACACTCCATCTCTCAAGAGTCTTGGAAAAATCCCACTCAAGCAGTGGTCTGGTACATTTGACATGGGCTCTTTGGACTTCAGGGAGCTGCTCCCTTTTAAGTCCTTCTGCCTTGGAACTAACTCTTGAGGGTTATTTTGATCCAACAACTTAAATTGTCCTACAAAGCAGTACTAGATGCAATCAGGTCACTTCCAGACCTGGCACACAGAACTTTTCATGCCAACAGCTTATAACTTTCCTTCAGACATGTGCCCTGCTTCATTAAAAAACAGCTAAGGTAAGCGTATTGCTATGTAGACGAAGGCACTTGCTTTTTCCACCCCTCTAGAGCTCTTCCCACACAGTACATGTACAAGGAAATCAGTCGAAATTGGCTTGGACAGACCTCCAAAGAACATGCATAAGCAGAAATATAAAGGCCCCAGAAGTAGCATTTTGCAAGAGGGATTTTCTGCAGTAAGCATATTCTCACACCCACTTCCTAAAAATACACTACAGTGTCCGTATACTGTTAGATACTATCACTGTACATGCTGGCTCTGCTCTCTGTAAAAGGATCCTTCAGCCCGACACACTTGGCAAAGGCGCTGGGTTGAAAACTTTGAATTTATATGAAGGCCAGTGTCTGATTTCTGAGCATTTTGTCCTTAGACTCACAGAAG